AATCTATTGTAGGGCCATATCTACACAAAACATGTCTCTTTAGTGTTTTGCTCAAAATACCAAACAGATCACCCATTGTAGCATGCCTCATACCCCTCTATTTCAGCCCTGTTACTAAAGTGCTGATTCTGTGTCTGGCCCTTTAAATGTAACGAGCTGCTGCTGGCCACGCCCCTTTGGAGCTGCTGCATGCAAGCAGTGAGCTCTGTGAAGAGAAGGCTGTCTACCAGCAGAAACTCAGCTAAACGCTGCCGTGATTAAACGTCATATTATGTTCCAAACCACATCAAGGATTATTTCTGAAACAGTATGGAGCTCAAACTCTTTCTCTCTCGCGGGTTTACTACAAGAACAGTACCTTTTATTTCCTGCTTCTTTAAACATATTCTCTCCAGTACAGCGTTAGCTCTGAGTGCTAGCGATGCTTGCTAATGTAAACACAGACCATATTACTTCTAAACACGTTGCGCATTGTTTCTGATACAGCAACGTTTCTGTTAGGGACGTTGCCAGGAGTTCAACGTAAAGCCAGCCCACATTTTAGTAATGTCGTCATGACCGCAGCAAATCTGGATCAGCTGCGTTGTACCCCCGTTTTTAGAGATGTGGTTACGGAGGCAGAGAGAGGGTTGTATTTTCTGACATTTTGTGAGTCTCCTTACACACCAGGTACACATATTTATGTATAAAAGACATAAGAAATTGCATTTTGCATAATAGATTACCTTTAAGCTGTTCTATAGATAAGGGCAAAATAGCCCAGAATATAAATCAATCTAACAAATGCTTTATGTTTTTGTGGGGATAGATAAGCATTATACTTTATAAAAAAAAATATATATATATACATATATATATTATAGTTATGCTAGTAATTGACCATGGTTATGTTGGCTGTCTGAGTGATAGCTGATGTAACCAATACATTGGTTCTAACCTGAGGAGGGCCCAGGAGGCAGCTGGTGCTGGGGGTGATGGGGATGCTGGTGTAGTTGATTGAGATGTGGAATGGAGGAGGGCTGGGGCATGACCATTGGTTGTTCCAGGCCCTGCAAAGCGGATAGGCTGGATCCTGAAGAGCTGGGGGGAGGAGCAGCTGCTCCTACCCCAGCGATGGCTGGATCAGCCTCCAGGATGAGTCTGGCCAGGGACTCAGCCAAGCCCCCTTCCCCTGCTCGATCCTCCACATCTGAAACAACAGTTTTACTTAGGATTTTCCAACTATGTGTGTCTTTCTTTTGCTCTTCATATTATATTTCACAATACGTCAAGAAAAAAAGCTTGAAGATTAGCAATTATTTTTCAGTTTCCAAAAAACTTGACCTGTCACAAGCAATTCGGAACTTTACAAAAAAAAAGAAAATTGAAGATATTAGGCATTCACAAAACTTGCAAATCTCCAGCAAGCAATACTGAAATCTAGCATACAGAGGAACACGACTAGCGGCATTTCCATAACTACGGCACTGACCTGGTGGAGGCAGTCCAGAGGAAGAGAAGGAGAATTGAAGGGAAGGTGGAAGGGGGAGTTGGCCCGCAGAGGAATGGAGATGGGAGGAGGATGAATCAAAGGCTCCTCCCAAATCTGATTCTCCTCCCATTCCCCGTCCTCCCCCCAGCCCTGCACCTAGCCCGGTGCCGCCCTGGAGCCCAGCGAGGCGTTTGTGTTCCTCCTGCCAGTCGTCATCTGGAAGAGAGGAGCCATATCAGGGCTCGACATTATAAATGGCCCGCTGGCCCGGAAGCACTATTTAGACCCCCCGGGCCAGCATAACCTACTTTCCACTTGCGGGCCACTAAAAATATTGCTTTAAAAAAAGAAATTGTCCTGTGGTATTGGTATTTTGACTAGCAATTTAGTTAAATTGTTTCGCTTATTAATGCTACAACATAGCGGTTCGTGAGCGGGAGCGCGCTCGTTCACTACAGACTTTCTCGCCACCTAACCATTCGCCAAAATGTTTTTAATACCAGCCGTAACCGGCCAAAAAACAATCTTCAAATAAAAGAATGTCACCGGAAGAGTTAAAGGAGAGTGACAGGGAGTATGAGAAGAAGAGGGAGAGAAAGTTTCAGCCACACTGGCTTGATCGATGGAGTTGGCTTCTATATGATTGCCAATATAAACAAGGTCTTTTGTCAGCTCTGTACATCAATGCCGACCTATGCTGACAAGTAAGTGAAGAGTAGAAAATATAAAAAGGTATTGGCTATAGGGAAATGTCCCAGCAGTTTAGGAGAATGAAGGTTCTAATCTATTACATTGCCATTGCATTTCTAACTCCTGATGACAGGAAGGCAGAAAGCGCATTATACAAATAATAATATACTTATAATAATAGCAGAATCTTTAACAATGACCACAATATAATTATTTTAATAAAACAAATATGAACAATTGAGGAAAATGAGGAAGAACTGATGATTCAAATGTTGTAGTACAAGCAGTAATGTAGTTTGTGCATAAATTACTATTGCAACAAATGTGTTCATTTTCTTCATTATTAGTCGATTTCTTTGGACGAATGCTCTTGGGCCAGTGGTTACAATGGTGGGGCATTACAATTAATTTGACCCTTAATGTCTACCCCTGCATATAACATCAACACATTTTTTTTTTCTTAAAAAAAGTAATTTCACAATGGGAATGGTCCTTTAGTGTTTTAGTGTTTAATGATGGTGACCAACAACAATCAAGAGCACCGACAGTGTAATATCTTCACTGTCAGGTTGTGACAGGAGGGGTAAACTGCGAACCAGATTAGTGGGTTAGCGTAGATAGGTTGAGCATAAAGTCAGAGTTCTCCATGATACAGAGGTGGATCTCTTTTATCCTAGATCGCCGGGACAACCTATGCTGCAGACTCAACCTGGTTTGGACCAGGTTATGTTCAGAATTTAGGTCTGTAATCGGCTAACTACTTTCCAATACATTGTACGCATAACTCACCGATGGCCCCTGCTCCGAAGGTGTCATCGTTAAACTGATTGATTTCATCTTCCTCTTCTATCATCCCGTCATCTTCCTCCTCCAACGTACAGTCTTCATCCAGGGACTGCATGGAAACCAGATGATGGGCCAAGAGAGAGGGTGAGTGGAAGGTTCGGGGAGGAAGGGAGTCATGGAGATCACAGAAAAGATAGGGAAGAAAAATAGGAATGGTTAGCAAAAAAAAAAAAACAAGAGGAGGAGAATAAATGACAAGAATAAGATTGTAAAATATCTCATGAAGCAGACTGAGAGGTTGGGACCTTGATAAGGGATCATTCCAATAATGCAAGAACATTATGGAATTTTTGCAATAACAAAACAAGGGCCCTGGACATGTGAATCCCTTCTATCATGAGTGTCTCTAGCACTGGTAGTACCAGAGGTACAGATATGATGAACAATGATATGAATAATGAACTATAGACTGAATGCAATATTCTTGACAGACTGATCTTCTTTTAAGTCTGACTTGTCGATTCAGATTGTCTTTCTTTCTAAATACTATAATTGACAAACATTCTTGTAATTCAAAAAAAGGAAAATTCTATTGTATGTTCATACATATTAGAACAAATATTCTATACTATATATGTGGGCCTTTTATAGAGGGTCAACAATGTATAAACTAAGTATTAAGGCACAACTATTTATAAATGTTATATAAATGCTGAGCTGCATTATGTTATAATAATATTGATGGTGGTCTGACAGAGATAAGAGACACAGAAGAGAGGTCACTGATTACGCTGAACAGCATCATGGGAAGGAACTACACTGGAATATAAGGAGTCTCTTATTTAGTTATTTGTATAGAACAGTGCTCAGGTCATCAGTTGAGACATGATGGTTTAAGTGACTGGACACCTGAATAATCCTGTAGGTTTAAGGTCGGTTCATGAAGAAAAATTATGGGTTATACCCATACCGCATTACTACACAAGGTATTAATACTGTGTATTTTATTTTTCATTTATCAGCTTCCCACTGTGTTTCTTAAATTGTGCGGAAAGCTAAAAGAAAATGGGCTATCAGTGCATCAACACACTAGTATAGTGGTTATCATGCCACATACACCATATGAATAAGTGTGATGATCAATGCGAGTCCCAACTGCTGGTCATGAGCCTAGGACAATACTTTCACTAAGCCAATCATTTATGCAAGTTTAACAATTGTTTTGGCTTGTCATGGTAACATGACAAATAGCATTGCACAGGTGCACGGCAGAGGTCGACATGTGGGGAATTAATGAAAAAAGTGAAGAATGAGGTGGCTAAAGAATCCTGTTTGACTTCAGACTAGTCCAACTGCACTTGTAACGTAGAGTTCTAGAGTGTAGAGTGCGAGGAGGAATACTCACTGAGACAATAATATTTAGATAGCGTTAAGTATAACTGTTAGTATCTCACCCAACAATATGAATAAAGAGAACTCGGGACTTCTTTCAGACAACCTGGAGGCAGCAGGAGTAGCAGTTAGCAACAATGCTAATGCTGACGTTATATCACGCAAGACCCACGTCGAAGTAAAACTGGTGCTTTAAAACTAACCCGCATGTTAATGTGAAGATACAGCTGGACACTTTTAAACATTGCCCTTTCACGAGTGAGATGTATTGATAAAACACTGGCCGTTGGATGGAGCTCACCCCTGGCTCATGTCACTAGGCAAGCGGGCTGACTCGCAGGCCGCCAACCGCATTGGATTCAGCAGTCGCATAAACAATAGACACCATGCAGCATAGAAATAACACTGTCTGTAATGACTAACAGAGCTCAGTGTAACATATGACATTGCCCTCAGGAATAGGACTCATGGGGTTTAGGGTACAACACTCACCTGAAAACGAAACATCTATCTTTAGGCTTTCGGGAAAAGAAGTGCATCGGAAGGGAGCGTGGCGGCGCGCAAGTGACGCAGGCAGCCAGGACGTCCACTTGAACGTGCCTTGCGGAACAACGTGAACGAGCACGCATCTGGGCACAGAGAGGGGCGGGGCCAAGCCGCTGCGGACGCTTCTTCATTAATACACTGTCCGCTGTTGGTAAACAGGAAGAGGAGCTGGGAAACAGACTACCGATCACAGACAACAGCAGGATCGCTGAACAGATCCGTGCCAGAGGTGGGAAGTCACTGAGTACATTTACTCAAGTACTGTACCTAAAGGTAGGGTAGGTAAGAATGGAGAAACCAGCTCGAGTGCGCTAGAATTTGAAAGTACACAGCCGAAAAAAATCTGCCCCTTCCTTCAGACTTCCTTACGGAGCCCCTCCTCCAACACACACGAACGCGCACATGACCAATGAGGGCACGAGATACATTTGTGCACGAGATGGAAGGCTATGAAGATAGATATGGTGCAAAATGCGAGAGCGTGTAAAACCTGATGTGAGCACTTGCAGAAAATAAAATCTGAGCTTGTGTGCATACATTTACACTTGTATAAAATATCCACGTATCTGTGAACCAAATTTGAAGTCACAGAAGAAAAAAAAAGTTTTGTAGCTTGTAGAAAAAAAATGAACTTAGTGATAAAATGTTCACTTGCAGAAAAATATATTTTCCATTACAACTGCAACTTGGTTATTACAACCTCTCAAATCAGTCATTACAACTTCACGAATCTGCTCTGTGGCAGTATAAATCGACGAATCTGCGGCCTTGACTTTTGCTACACTTCTTGCGATGAATGTGTCGCTAAAGTAATTTTCACCTGTAGATGTGGGGGGAGGGAAGGGGTTGGAGCGAAGGGGCGGAGCTATTAGAACGACGAGATGCAAGCTCGGGTCAGTCACGCAGCCTACACACGGCGGCGTGCGTTGCCACTTGGCGGTGGGCATGTCTTGAGCTTGGGGAGTTAACGCGAGCAACGCGACCAACAACCAATCACATGAATCTCCCGTGTCTCCCCCGGATAAAAAGGCGTGTATGAATCTCACCATAGACATTCGTGTCTAAAAAGCGATTTTTAATTAATGTCTATGGTGCTATTTTATACAACATTCCATGCTGTTTAAATACTGTCTATGCCTGCTAGCTGTCCATTCAAACGAAGTACACTGGATATAAACTCCCCAAACAGGCGAAAACCTACCAGTTTCACCCACTGTCTCTGCCACCTCCCTCCATGCCTGGCTCCTCCGGTTTGTATCCCGGTAGGTGAACAGGGACTGAAAGCACCGGGTGATTCCCTACCGCTACGATTATTTTCTCCTACATTTTTTGGCATATGAGGAAATGAACTGCGGTCTGGCTCTCCCAGCATACACGCGGTTTGATTGGCTAGCGCTTGTACTGGCAGATTTGCATACGCGGGATTTGATTGGCTGACGCCTCCGCCTCAGCTTCAAAAGTAGAACATTGCTCTACTTTTGCAGCGAGCACCGCGAGAAAAGCTACGCTTTGCTCCCACAATGCAGTTCGGCGAAACGTGACGTCACCCCATTCAAAGTGAATGGGCAGAAGCGTTGAAGCGTCAACGCACGCCGCCGTGTGTAGGGGCCGTCACACAGCCATGTCAGGGGGACTGCATGTTGCTCCTTTCACACTAACGCGGTATATAACCCGGTTCCGGGGCCGGTTCGGAGCTTGTGCCTGATAAGCACCGGTTTTTCCTGTTCACGCCGCAGCGTGAAAAGGAAAACCGGTTCTTACCAAGCTCGAAAAAAGTGTCGGTCTAGTCTAGAGGCAAGAACCGCATACGTCACGCTTACGTCGGAGGGGGGCGAAATTAACCTGAACTAACAGTTTATGGAGAGTAAGGTAAATAAAAGTTGAAACAAGCACTAGCGCTGAGCAAAGTGACTACAACGCAACCACACACTTGTAAAAAAAACACTTTATAAAGTCAGGCAACACTAACCAGTAACCAGGCTTTGTGTGATTCTGTTTATTTGTACCTTACTTTGACCATCCGTTCGCTGTTATTGATCATTGTGGAGGGGGCAGACCAGGGCCGTCCCTCCCTACAGGCCGATCATGCAGGCTGCATGGGGCCTCACATTGCGCAGGGGGCCTCGCGCAGAGGGCCTCGGCTTATGAGCTTGGCTTGTGCGCAGTTCTCAGCGCACCCCCCTTACATAACAGTTAAAGTTTACAGCCTAAAAAACATGGAGCATTTTTTCCCCTTTTATTCATTTTTATGTGAATTTGCACATTTCATGGTGATGCTCAGCCTCTCCCCTTAAAGGTAGGGTAGGTAAGTTTGAGAAACCGGCTCGAGATCGCTAGAATTTGAAAATACACAACCGGAGAAAATCTGCCACTTCCTTATAGAGTCCCTCCTCCAACACACACAAACGCGCACATGACCAATGAGGGCACGAGATAAGTTTGTGCACAGATGGAAGGCTGACAGGCAGGTAGGCCATCCAGTTATTTTAGCCGGGCCGGCTAAAATGATTGGTCGTACTTTTTACAGTACTACGGCTTCCACAGATGACATTTTTTAATGGATTTTTTGTCAAAGCACTTCAGATATTCATTGCTATCGGGATGTTAAGAGCATTCCATGGAATATAACAAAAAGTGTATCTCGAGCCGGTTTCTCAAACTTACCTACCCTACCTTTAACTCCTAACAGTCATCATCATGTCAACCACAACACAGAGAAATACTGATAGAAATGCGTGTACAGTTGTTGATACATTGCTGACAGAGGGAACTACATTTGAATACAGATTTAAGAAATATCAGTTTTTGAGCATGTAATAAGCATGTTTTGTCTTGACTATATTACAACTATATTATAATAAAAATAATATAGTATTTATATTATTGAATTGATTATGATTATGATTATTATTATTAGTAGATAGTAGTTTATTTGCATGAATTATATTTTAATCTTTTTGAGGCTAGTATTTGGCAGGAAATGCAGACGTATTCACCTGTAAACGCATACTGAACGACATACATGCACATTTACCATTTACCTCACTGTATAAAAAAGTAACTGTGTTGATAATAATAATAAACAGGAATTATATTTGCAAAGTACTTTGTTTCCCCAAAAGAAATGTTCACTCCTGTCGGTTGGGGAGTGGGGGGCCTCATCTCACAATGTCGCTTGGGGCCCCAAATTGGCCAGGGACGGCCCTGGGGCAGACGTTTTGTTTTGTATTATAGCAGCTATCAGATACATGGGCTGCACAGGTTGTCATGTCTGACTATCACAAGTAGAATCATAATGAAAAATACGCCGGTAAAATGTGCCTGTAGAAAACGGTGTTACCGTTTAACTGGTGTCACTGGGAACTGGTGATATTCAACCCAGTCTCACGGCATTTCGTGTTATTAGTCACGAAATTAATTTAATCTATTGATTCGTGTTCACCAACACGATTTTCACATTTTTTTCGTGTCACACAGAACGATTTTAAATGCAATGTATTTCTATTGGTAGTATGTTTCGTGCCTGCAACACGTCTTTTTGTCCGGTCGGGTCTTGGAAGACCAGAAGCTGTGTGGTTCATAAAAACATGTTCTTACTCAATATCTTACCCTAAGCCTAAATTGTATAATGTCTGAGTTTTTTTGCCGTCAGTGAGGAAAAGAAATGGGGCTCAGAGCCTCAGAATACTGAAATCTGTATTTTATGTCATCTTTTTTTCCTTCTAATTTGTTATTATTTGGTGCAGGCACGAAACATACTACCAATATAAATACATTGCTTCTAAAATCGTTCTGTGTCAGAATACTTAAATCTGTATTTTTTTAAATGTCTTTTTCCTTCTAATTTGTTATTATTTACATTGCTTTTAAAATCGTTCTGTGTGACACGAAAAAAATGGCGAAATCGTGTTGGTGAACACGAATCAATAGATTAATTTTGTGACTATAACACGAAATGCCGTGAGACTGTGTTGTGATATTCTATAACGGTAGGAATGTGTCAGGAGCGTGTACTTTGAGGAGCCATTGTCGAATAACCAGGAAATACACATTTCGATCGCTTCTTCTGTCGTTTACATTCATCTTTTGGTATATTTGGCTGGATAGGAACACTTTGATGCACATTCAGTACCAGTGTGTGAGGTTGTGGTTGCGATGCCGATATCCGGACGCGTACAGCGAGGACTACAAAAAGACACATGAGGTGACTGGGGATGTCTGTTCAAAACATTGCACGCTTGAATAAATCATTTAAACCAGCTATTGTTGCCAGACTTATTACTGAATATCGTTCTTAATGTGATACCAAGTCCATCTGAGACCTGTGTACACCTTCAGACAGCCTACACGTGAAGCACACGTTGTTTACTCACAGTTTGAAAGCAGCGTGGAGAAGTCTTCAGCTGTGGAGCTGTGATCCGCCCAGGTTAAACTGTGTTTAATATTAAAGACTGTGTAGAAAATGAAATGTAGCTGTGATGAACAATGATGTCGTTTGAGTGAGCCACGAATCAATACGACATCATTGTTCATCACAGCTACATTTCATTTTCTACATTTGCTGTTGGGACTTGGGTTTGAGTCCAGCATGAACTTTTTAGTTATTTTCATGTCGATGGACACTGAATTATATTTTTGAATAGAGGATTCATAATGTTGTTTGCGGAGACCAAAATTAATGACCAAGCAGCATTTTAAAGTCTAAATATCCCTACACATGCACCAATGACATTTCTGCTCCTATCTTTGCAAGACGAGTAAACAGTCACATCTTATCTGGATAAGTGCTGCAAAGTGCAGAATACCATTTTGTTAAGGGATACATGTGTGTCGTATTAAATATTAATATTAAACATGATCGCTGGTAGATAGCCACAGAACAGAAGTCGTATCACAATTTAACCTGGGCGGATCACAGCTCCACAGCTGAAGACTTCTCCACGCTGCTTTCAAACTGTGAGTAAACAACGTGTGCTTCACTTGTAGGCTGTCGGTGTACACAGGTCTCAGATGGACTTGGTATCACATTAAGAACGATATTCAGTAATAAGTCTGGCAAAAATAACTGGTTTAAATGATTTATTCAAGCGTGCAATGTTTTGAACAGACATCCCCAGTCACCTCATGTGTCTTTTTGTAGTCCTCGCTGTACGCGTCCGGATATCGGCATCGCAACCACAACCTCACACACTGGTACTGAATGTGCATCAAAGTGTTCCTATCCAGCCA